TACTTGTTTACCTATCAAAACGCTTACACGTACAAAATTCTTCAATCGATTTTGGCTCTCGCGAGAATTGAAAAAGAAACTTGGATAGATCAGTTCTGGATGGTTGCTTAGTCCCCATTTTCATTCCAAATTCTTATACATTTTTTTTTTCTGATTCATCTAAAGAAAAAGAAATAATAATTTCTTTCTTCATCTTTCCAAGATTTTGAAGATAATAGTGGCATTACAAGGTTCCGAATCCGAATTGGAGTTATCAGAATCCGTGTTTTTATATCATGAAAAAGTGCTGATTCGAAACACTCCAGTGGTATTTTTATAAAGTAATTTAGCACTAATGAATAATCAGATTGACTAGATTGATACATCAATCGAACAGAAAAAAGAAATCAATTTGAGAAGACCGTTCGACGACTCGTCTTCTCGATATGCCTTCGTATTATCGAAAAAGTTATCTTGACATTCCTGAAAAAAAAAGGAAAAAAAAATTATCGGGAGACCTACAGGCTAATCTGATTAAAGTGTACTTACAGGAGAGATTTAAGAGTTCATCTCCTGATATTTCTAACATGACACGAAACAATTTTCTGATGTTGTTGAGTAAATTTAATCGAAGCATTTATTGTTTGAATAAATAACACTGTACTGTATATACAGTATATATACGTATTACGTAACGATTTCGTCATTAATTCAACTCTCACAAGATGAAATTTCGTATATGATTCCTAATTCGACATAATTTTTTTTTCTACAAATCTGTTTAATGCTACTGTGAGGCAATGTGTTTCTGTTATTAATGTGCCATATAATCCATACACTCGTATCTGAATAATGGTCCTTTACGTCTTAAACTCGTAGCGACATCTGTCGATTACATTTCTAAATTCGTAGCAAAAAAAATATTTTTTTTTTAGCATTTTAGAATTTGTGGATAAAGAAAACATGTGATATTATTCTAAATTTTTTTTCGTAATAATTAAATTATTTTAATTTGAAATACATTAGAATTTCAGTGTAAAATTCTTATAAAATCTATAATTTCTTGACTTTTATTTTACGCGTGAACAGAATCATTTAAATAATGTTTATAATAGCGTAATTAATGATAAATTACACATCTCGTAGTAGAATAGAAAGCGTTAAAGTGCTACCAGATGAGACCGAGTTCGATTTCCGTTTGCTCAGGATTTCCTTTCATTAATTTCTCTCCATCACAATGAAGAGAGATTGATGTGGGAAATTCCAACTTGTATCGTAAACACATCTCATTTTAGCATCGAAGAGCAATGCCTCTGATATAAAAAATTTTTCAAATATTTGCAAACTCTAAACTAATCAATATTAATCGTCTTAATGTTAACCTTAAAATAAATTGTAGTTGATTTAGTCTTTAAACAAAAGGGAAAGTTCTGTTAATTCTGCTTCTTCGTTTTCCAAGAAACATTCTGCTTCAGAAAGAATATTTGTTTATACAGCTATAAATTCAGAAAGAATATAGAAGTAAATACGGAATCAATAATGCCTACTCGTTTATGTCAACTATTATTCTTAATAAATAAGCATTTCTCTACTTTTAGCACTTATTGACAATTGCCTACACTTACATCATTCTCGTTCTATAAGAAACTATTATATAACATATGTTATGACCTCTACACTACGAAGAAAGATATTCTCCTGTTATAAATTATCCATTATACTTGTGTTATTGCCATATAACTTTAGTTTGACATTTCACTGTGGTATTTCATATTTTAAAGTTTATTTCCATGCATAGCATCGATTAATTAATTAATACGAGATACCAGTACGATGTAGCTGTATAGATACACTATAAACAGGCCCGACCCTCAATGGGGTCGACCGGCATAACTGAGGGATAAAGAAAGATGCCAGGACCCGCGAGTGATAAATTAAGGTGTCAGGACTGGTTTCGGATCTAGATACACGCGGTAGGTAACGTCTTATTGCGTTGTATAAGAACATTAATTTATAATGTAGTGTGTTCGTTATACATCTTACTTAACAATGGCTTCGCAGGAACTAATCAGGTTGTAAAATCGGTAATCTACTGTATCCTTGCATAATCGAATCTTAAAAGTAAAAAGAAGTTGATGCAATTTAATTATAATTTCTGAATTTCATAATGATATATATTTAATTATCTTTGTTTACAGATGATTGAAGAAATTGCTATATTCATTCATGCAAACCATATAAGTTAATATTCAAAAAAGTAGCCTTTATGCTCAGTGATATGAAGCGAGTCAATCAGATTACTTACAACTTTTGATTAAAAAAATAAAAATTATCGGTAAGTATTCATAAAAACTGCACACAATAAAATTTCAATTATTTTTTTTTTATTAAGAAATAATTTTTTTATCAATGTCCTTACAAAACATGCATCAAGTAGTTCACGTGTTCTGCAAGAGCATGACATAGAGATGCGGTTTTTATTTATAGAATATTTTTTTTTTATAAATGAAAGATAAACTGAAACACCCCACTAATTAAACATGTGTAAAATTTCGACGGTATCATTACAAAATAAATATTTTCTTACTATTACGCGCCACGTTAATTTTAATGCAATGTTTACAGTACAGTAAGCAAGAAACATTTTAAATTTTGGTAATAACGCATAAATTTCTCATACATTAATGTATAAAATATAATTTCCTTACAGCTTTCTAATTATTTCTGAACGCTGTAATTGTATTCTTCATTGCAGTACTTTATGTTCATTTCGATATCCGCCATTTTGTTTTCAAGTAGAAAAATTACAGAATAAAAACGTTTTCTTTTTTTTTTTGTATGATCATTTCAAATTTAAATTCGCTTATTATTTTGAAATTAATTACTCTAGAATCATGCAACTTGTTAAAGGAAGCTGCCAAATAACGAAAGAAATTTGTAGCTAATAATGCATTTTAGAATATTTTTTTGGTGCCATAAATTTACCTTTATTGATAAATAAAACATTTAAATAATTAAATTCGTAAGTTTTAATAAATATCTGAAACAAATAAAACCATTACTACCAAAAACATATTGGATTTTTTGAAGTCCAACTAGGTGTTTCTTGTGGTTCCTATCTCGGAATGTTGAAATTTTACTAAAATGTCATGATAAATAAGAAAAGTTAACAGTGTAAATATAGAAAAATATGAATAGAAAGCGAAAAGAATTTATGACATTACATTCAACAAGATTAACCAGGAGTTGCATTCACCATATCAATACGAAATGGACACTTGTCATTTGGAGCATTTATTTCATTACTAGTATAACTGACAGTTTGACAAGAAAGTAATTATAAAACAGACACGAAATCAAAGAAAGAAGAGACGATAACTCAGCCGTTCTTCTTAATAAATTTATCTTCTTTCTTCAAACAAGTTTTGATCTTGATGTGATTATTAATGATTCTTTACTAAAGACGAATTCGCAATGCCAGTCTATTATATTATTAATGAGAATATTATTTATAGACGATGCCAAATATGTTGTCGAGAGTATAAAGACACATCTAACCATTTTGAATACAAGTTTTCGTACGAAGTACGTAGTCACTACTGATTTTCGTATAAAAGATTAAGGAGAACGAGTGAAAAAAAATAATAAGAACTGTATAAAGTCGTCAGCGCGTATCGACGTTATCGGTCCATAAATATCTCTTTCTACGTCATCAATGCCATTTGCAACGTAAGAGAATTTAATTAGGAATTTTCGGGCTTTTTTATTCAAACGAATGGTTCACTGCTTCGAGGAAGTACAGCAATTACATAGCAGAAAAACGAGAAACGAGATTCAATCTGGATAGGGATGGGCCACACAGAATGACAGACACGTGATCAATCAGACGATTACTCTAATTGAGTGTGACTTGCAACCGAAAAAAAAGGAGGCCCCGGAAGGTGTCAACTAGAATTAAACAGATACAGCAATTTAATGAAACTTTAATTAATATTCTGTTTTTTTAAATATAAATTTATTCGTAAAATATGCTTATTTTGATTGCTATAAATTTCGTAAGGATAACACTTCGGTATCTAATTGGTTTTGATGTAAAAAAATCTTCAGCATTATAGTACGAAATTTAGTAAATTTGGCATTAAAATTACTAAATTTGTGATAAATTTAGCAAATAATTCATTAGATTTCGGTCTAAATGTCTTACGAAGCATTTGTAAGGCATTTATAGTCTACTAAATGTAGATTCATGTATCTAAGTGTATAGCCTTTTGTAAGCTTTTAAAACTTAATAAACTCTGACATAAATTTATTTAACTTTGCATCATTAATAATTTGATTTTAAAAAAGTTCAAAACCCATTAAAAACTTATAAAAAAAGAACCGATAAAAATTATTTGTAAATATTTACTATAATTATGACACGAGATTTAATCTATGCAGATTAACAATAATGGTGACTACACTAAATTCTGTTCAGAAATATACTTAATTTTTGCGCTTAAACTATTGAATTCAAGTAAAAAATTCATTAAAGCAACAAAAATTAAGATTTAGAATAAAAATTAAATTAAATTTAGTTAACATTTTGGCAGAAAATCATTAAACTTCGATTAAGAAATTTGATAAAATTCAAGTAGAATTGTCGAATTTACAACAATTTAGTAATTTTTCTGTATGGAAATCTTACATTAATTTATAATTTATACGTATAAAAATAAACTAGCATAATATATGTTATATATAGATTAATTATACTAACAAGTAAAAAAAAAATCACTAATTTTTTCACATTTAAATTCCAATCTCCCCACTCATTCCTAACTGATTGCAAAACATATATTCTAAATTTAGCAAGAAAATAATAATAGAAACGTTCCTAATTAACTGTAAGGGTGGAGAAGTTTATGAAATTTAATCATACGCAACCTCATCAAATAAATTTATTACCAGTAATGAAATAAATTAGACAGAAATAAATAAATAAATAAATAAATTCAATACATCAATCCAATCATCTTGCATATAACTAGACATAAATGCATTCAATTATAGAGAAAAAATTAAAAAAAAATTAATTATCTGCAGCATTTTAACACTTCATTAAACTCCAATATAAATAAATTTTTTGATTAGATTAATTATTATATTTTCTTCCATCAAAGGCCATCTTAGAAAAGCTTCTTCCAGGAATTACTAGACTGAAAAACAAAAATTTATATTTAAAATACATCTCGAATTACACTATTAACGTTTAAAAAATTGGACAGGTACAAAGGTCAAGATAAATAATGTCTATTTATTTAAATTTATGTATGACGTTTAGGTAAATAAATGACTTTCTAAAAGGAAAAAACAAAAAAAAAACATTTTAAAAAATACGAATAAATTCCTATTGGCAACATAACATAACTTGATGTGTG